CAAACTAACGAAGTGTGGAAGAAGTCAACCAAAAAAGAGACTTTGTGCAGCAGTGTCCTCATAAGACTGCACGTGCCGGAAATGAAGAGACAGCGAATAGACGACACCAAAGAGACTGTAAGTGCTTGCTCTACGAGGAATCATTACTACTTGGTGCAAAATGTATCAAATAATTGGTCTCCTCTAATGGGGGGGAAAAAAGAGGCAAAAGGATGAAAATTACAGATTTTCTAAAATAAATTTGTGCGAAATTCATAAGGAAATAAAAACGATTCAAGCAAATGTACGAATCAAAGAAAATTATTTTCCAAAAAATAAGCAAAGCAGTCTTTTATGCCTACATCGAGTTAAGGCAGTGTATCGAATGAAAATGACAACTTCGAATGCAGAGTGAGTGATTGATTTACCGCAAAATGTTTAAGAAATATAAAAATATGAAGATGCTGTATCGTATGGCAACATAGGATTTGAAGGTGATTAGCTAAACCGAAATCCATGCAGAAGACTGCCAAATATGGTATCCATGGCAAGGGGCATATGCTGATTGCTCAATGACTGATGGCAGGGACTATCCGCGAAGAATTTTCAATGCTTGGTGAAACGGTAAGAGCCCATGAGACCTTTTATCAAAGTGAAGAATTGGAAGAAAAGATGAGAAGAGCGTAGCCCACAAGAATAACCGAGTACAAGGCGAGTTCGACATTGCGTCAATGAACCTTCAATGTAAAAGGTAAAGTGAAAAGGATTGGCAGATCGGTAGTATTGAAAACTAAGAGAATGTCTTCTTTGGGGGTGCTGAATAGGTACCGTGAGATTGTCGATTTGAGCTTGGCAGGCTTTGGCGACTTGTGCAAACCCAGCAAATCCATGCCAGTCTCGTCAACCACCCTCCTCCATGGAGTGTGTACACTGAAATGGTAGGAGAGGGAGGGAAGTAGGAGGCAACGGGCTGGGGAATAAAATGGAACAGGACGCAGGTAAGACGATGGCGAAGGAGGAAAGAATGCGAACAAAGTCGGCAGGAGGTGAGAAAAGGCGGAGCAAGTCGAAGAAGAGTACCGGAACGACGGACTAGAAAAGCGGCAAAGCATGGAGCGGGGAAATGAAGGAAGCAAATGACGTGACCAAATCAAAGTGGCCTTTAGAAGCGCGGTTACACGATCTTGTGCAAACAAGCAAGCAGAAGGACGCATGGACGGACGGACGGACGGACGGACGGATGGACAGTCAGTCAGTCAGCCATATAGTCATTTCCTAATTGCATAAACATTCGTATGCCGAAAAACTGCCTGCCAGAAGTGGATGCAGAGACCGTCTGATCCGAGAGTCAAATGGGTCTGGATAACTAAAAGAGATCGAATGTATGCGAAAATCAATTAATGTACATTCACTCCAGCGACTGCGAAGCCGTGGAGACAAGTGAGGTAGTGGTAGAAGGAACGAGGAGCACAAGTTTGTAGTTGAGGCTGTGCAGTCAGAGCGACCCGAGGCGGAGCTAGTCGTACATAAGATGGATGAATGAATGAATAAATGAATAAATGAATAAATGAATAAATGAATGAATGAATGAATAGTCAATCAACTTTAACGAAGGACATATAGTGAGATAGAGAGAAGGATGTAGATGGATAGACAAAGAGAGAGGAAAGAGGTGTTAGTGTAGGTCAGGGCGAAGAGAGGGGAGCAAGAGGGATGATGTTCAGGGCGGGAATCGGCACGGCCGGTCAGACCGGCACTCGACTATCGCTTTAATGAAAACTCCCCACAGCGGGTCTCGCAGGAGCGCGATAAATTGCAGGCGCATTCGCAAGCCGAAATGCATGCAGAAACCGGCGTGGAGGGGATAGAAAGAGGTGGCAGAACGAGCCGGCCAAAGCAGTTAATTCCGTTGGGATGATTCACTTGTCTGATCACCAGAGGCAGGCCGCATGTGGAGGCGAAGAGAAGATGGACAAAAAGAAGAGTAAAAGAGAAGGGAATGCGAGAGGACACGAAAAGGGGAAGAGACCGAGTCGATTGTGTAGTCGGGCTGAGTAACCATCGTCAGGAGGAGATTGGAAATGGTGGAATTAGAGGCTGACGAAAGAAGCGATAAGACATAAGGAACGTGAGGACTGAAGGAGCAAACCGGCCTCGAAAACAACCAAATGCGAATCCCACCATGAAGAGCCGACTATTTTGCCTCTTGTCGCCTTTTTTGGAATTGGGAAAGAGTAGACTCACGCATGCCCAAAGAGTAGGGCAGAGAAACTCGACGAGCATAAAGACCAAAATGCATAAAATATGATGCCTGCAGAAAAGCACTGCTACAGGAAGTGGGCAGAATGCTTGGCTCCAGCATACAATTTCCAATCACATGTGGGGAGACAGTTCCTGTTCGTTTGCATGTCTACAGACCAGTCTAGTTATTAATAAATGCACATTCTCTCATTGCACTTGAACTGCCGCATCACTCCAAGACGCAAAATGGACGTTAATCAAACAAAATAAGGACAGAATCACTAAGGATGCAGGAATGCAGACAATACAAAAAGTAGCCGAAAATTGGAAAACATGCGAACCACAGTTTCCCAATTCACATTGCTTTAATGCTGCACGATGATCGTCAGCCAGGAGGCCAAGTGAGGAAGCAACTAATCATAGAGACCTACGTTTAAAAGGGATAGTGAGATAAAATAAAAAATAAACTTAATAATAATTCCCATTCTCCAGTGGCATGTGTGCGTGTGTGTTTGTGTGTGTATGTGTTGCCCCACACAGGTTGTGATTTATGGAAAAGTGAACTTTTCTCGCAGCTGCATCCATTGATATGAAAGACAGTTTCGAAATGACAAGAGGAAGCACATGCGAATGAATGGACTATATAGACATCATAAATAGAAAGCAATAGTGAGCAGATGAATGAGAGCACTAAGCTGCAAAAACGACGCTAAAGCAATGACGTGTGTAAAACCAATGCGGATATTATATGAAGAGCAGTCGGAAAGAAAGATAATAGAATAGAAATGAAAGGAAGATGAGAAGAGAGGATAGTATACATATGCGAAATTCAGATCAAGAATTGACTGTGAATTCAACCACAAAACGTCGAATATCTCAAAAATTAACAGGTCAAACAGAAAGAAATAAAATTACACATTTCTCACAAAATTTAATTTGGAAGGAGTGTTTATCTGTTATGAGCAAATCATCGGATAAATAGGCGTATGACCCAATTGTGTGCGAAAGTAGATAAAAAAAGTAGAATGAGCTAAAAATCGGTCTTAAACAGGGAGACACATTCCATAGACCAAATAAAACAAAAAATACATAAAAAGTGACGCTAATATCGCCTAGTTTCCAGGCTGACTGAGAAAAGTAATAATCAAACACACAGATGTCATAATGAGGAGGATGTAGATGATATGCAAAAGTCGAGAAAGGTGGAAACCTGAAGAACAGTGGATCCGTGAACTAGTAAAAGTGGAGGGGACATAAAAGGGTCAGCATTTTATAAAAATGCGTACACTTGCCATAACTTTAGACATATATTTAAAAGGTTCGCCAACAAAGTCCCGAATGTGATAAGTAATGGAAGAGCAATGCTATTGACGATAATATTTATGGGTTTGTTATGACAGAAGTATTAAAGGAACGCATTTACACATCAGTCCTCGAAATGTCAATGTCGCCATTCTGACAAAACAGCAAAAATATCAAAAAGGGTAGATTTCTAAAAAGTAGGCGATGCCGCAGCCTCGAATGAACCAAAGACGGCTTTACAGAAAATAGAAAATATTATTTATTGATAAGTAGGCTCTAGAGGCTTCCAGTAGTTAATATATGAGACGAATTCACCATATTTGATTTAAGGTGATAAGGGGGTGATGATGACAGTTAAGGCGAGGTCTAAAATGCAGGATAGGAATACCTTTTGAGAAGCAAGAGATGTGAAATTAAACGGAAATATAAGGTCTGCTCATATGATTGTGGAAAAACTCAACTATCAGCCCCTTTATCACCTTAAATAAAAAATGGTGAATACGTCTCATATATAATCTACTGAAAGCCTCGAAAGCCTACTTATAAACGAAAAAAAATATTTTCTCTTTCCTGCAAAGCCGGCTTTGCTTCATTCGAGGCTGCGGCATCGCCTACGTTCTAGAAATCTGCCCTTTTGGATATTTTTGCTTGTTTATCAGAATGGCGACATTTAAATTTTTAGGACTGATGTGTAAATGCGTTCCTTAAAAACGTCTGTATCATGACAAACTCATAAATACTATCGTCAATAGTATTGCTCTTCCAGTTCAGGCGAGGTCGGAACTGCAGTCCATTTCCGCCTGGATGGGACTACCTTTTGGAAAAGCAAGGCTATGTGAAATTCAATGTAAACGTAAAGTCTACTAATATGATTGTGGGAAAATTCAACTACCAGTCCTCTTATCAGCGTTAACCAAATAGGGTGAATGCATCTCATGCATAAAACGAGGAATAGATTATTGGAATAGCGAAGGCTGGGTTTGGCAATGGTTAATATAGATCGCCAAGTGATCATTTTAGGAGAGCTGGAAGCAGTTCCGGATAGACAGATTGACAGGCGAGGGGATTAACTATATCCAGGTGGGAAAAGTTGGCAAAAAAACGAACTGCAGAAAAATGTTCGCTTGCGAAGACTAATTTTCCACACACAAAAAGATATAAAGATGGCAAAGCTTCATAAATAAATATAATTTCTAGTCTCAAAACCCACTTTATATGAATACAGATGAAATAACTTACGTTGCTAAAATTTGATTGAGAGAAAATAAGAGGCAAGGTTAATTGGGAGTTGAATAAGAACAGAGAAGAGTATGTTTGCTAGGTTCTGGCAACTAAAATTCTCTTATTTGGGAGAATTGAATTACTTCTCAATGGCGAGGCCGAAGAAGAATGAACACCACTCGAAGCCAGTTAATTATGGCATAGAGGTGCATAAATCAGAGTCCGAAGGAGATAGTCAAGGCAAACTGAAAATGAGCATAGTCACACAAATTCATATGCCCACGCTTGTAAGCCCTGGAATTTGGATGAATAGCTGATGGCCAAAAAAGGTAATGGGAGCTCTAAACACCGAGAGTATTTTGTTAATCCCGTCGGAGATTGTCTATTCGTCCCTTGCCAAACCGTTTGTGAATGTTGGCTTGTATGTCAATGTACCAAATTCTGAGGGTCAGGTTGACACTTGAATCTCGACCTCAGCCAGCGTCAAAAGATCAAGGTAGTGTCTTGATGAAAAGATTCCAGCCTGTCTCTGCTGAATGTATGCCAATACTTTCAGCACAGTCAACCAAGCGACCTGAAGAGTGATGAGACTTAAGGGTGAAGAGGGGAGCAAAGAGAGGTC